ATGAATTCCACACATTTTTTGTATGTTAGATAACCCAGATAAGTATGTGCTGGCCTAAAAGCTCTGTGACACCCGGTATACCTGAAGTAACAAACATTAACTATCCAATCGAATCAATGGGCTTAAATCACAAAATAAAATATTTCATAATTCGATAGAACTCACCCAAACTAGCTCACCACCGCAAACCGTTTCTTGCTGTGAGCTCCCTACGTTTTATGAAAAATTTTTGAAATCCCCGATTTTTCGGACCTCTAAAAACGAGACGATGATGTTACCTCAAAACTCTAATACTGAAACAAGACTATTCCAGACAGAGATGAATGATACTTGATTTCTGACAGAGTGAATTAGCGCGAGATCACAGTTGAAAGAATTAATATATCAGTTGCCTCAGTCTCCATCGGGCGTTTGGTATTTTCTTTCAACTATGGCGAGATGAGGTTTCTACGTCATAAGAGGGCCCGTTTTCAGAAGGTATTATTATTTATGCCCAAAAATAAATTATTCTAGTTAACTTTTCGATCGAATTATGTCGCCAATCATTATAAAAGGATCATTATAAACATGGTTTGAGTTAAAAGTTCTACTAAGGTGTACACGCCCATTAAAGCCAATGAATGCCAGATTCAAACTACGAATAACATAGACCTATCTGAAATATTCATTCGATCACTAGGTATATTGTTGCTTCCTCGGTTGCTCCAATGTCCAGAACCAATTCCAAACCAGTGAAAAAACATTCTGAATATCCGCTAAACTGCATACTTAATTATTTCATTTTATATTCCATATTACACAAACCTCCCGACGAATTAAAAAAAAAGAATGCTTCCTTTGTTATGCCACATTTCCATAAAATTCTTGAATGCCAAGAAAAACAAAGTCAGTCGCCAGAGGCGTATCAGTAGAGCAGTTTCAAGGGTAAAATTATAAAAATATTCAATCATAAGTACTATTTATAATCAAACCACAATCAAACCTAATATATGAATCGTAAAATATAGGTAGGTACCTATTGCATCAATCGGGATGTATTTTTCCTTGAAATTTCGATATAAAGTGCTCAAAGAAACAAGTGGACCACTGAAATATTTGACAATTCTCAAACTGCCATATCTTTTTAGAAAATGAATGGATGTTCAATCGGAATGCAGTGCTTGGAAGATGCGATCTTTCTGTTCAAGATTTCTTCGTGTTCGAAAAAAGTATCACAAAATTGAAAAAATTCAAACGCTTCCGTATTCTAGGGGTTTTGTTTTATTTTTCTATTGAGAGTTTTTTTCCGAACGTACAAGCCAATATCTCGAAACGGTTTTGTAATTTTCCATATTTCTCATACAGGATGTTGAAAATCGATGATTTTTCATTTTTAGGTTTTTATCGCATCATTTCCGATTTTAAAATTATGCAAGCCACATTCGACGTATTTTGCCACTCTATACGATATAACACATCCTAGAAAATGGATTCATATTGCGTTGAAATCATCGACAACAGTAACAGAAGAGGAATCAATTTTTTTTGGGAAATGTTCAGAATTTGGTGGAATCGTCTGTTCAGTTTGGTGCTGCCATAACCATATGCTATGCTAAACACAAATCCTTTATTTGGATTGATTGACTACTGCATATTGGAATAGATGTATTTTTGAAATTTTGAAAAGTAATTCTAGGTACGCCAATGCTCGTAACTATCTCCATCTCTTTCCGTCGTGCTATGCATAGAAACTGAAAGTCTAGGCATATTCTATTTCGGTCGATACTTCTGACATTGGCGAGGTCAGGTTTTACGTAATCTATAAAAAAAACACTATCTGTTGAAGATTCCGTGAGTTTTTTCATGTGTCGGCTATAGCTTTCACGATTTTTGGACACAGTGGAAAACATGTCATTCGATATAATCCTTATCTTTTGTTGAAATAACCATCGATGCAAGGTCATTGAAAACAAATTTTCGGCTTTCATGAGATACCGTCGTACAACTGTAAATACTTGATTCAAATGAAAAAAAAATTAGGTATATAATATTATATAAAAATGAGATCTTTGAGGTCTATAAGACCGAATGTCGGTTGTTGAAGTTTGTTGTATAGATGAAGAAGAGATGTATAGAAATTTAACTGGTCTTCAATTGTTTCGTCAGACTAACTCTCGATATGGAACAATTGCAAGCGAGTTTTGGACGTGGGGTTCAGGTATTTGCGATAGAGGTGCCATAATCGGAAAATCGTTCAAAACCTTGGTTCTGTGAGGGATGAATCTATTATTTCCATCATTGTTCTGTGGTCGAATAAATAATCTGCTCAACATTTTTATTCAAATTTCAATTTGAAATAGAAGCAAGACATCTTTTTTGTAGCCGATTTTAATAAGCTTCAATTCTTTCATGACATGAAACTATTTAAAGCATGAAATCTGATGAATTTCCTCTTTGAAGAACCAGAACAAAGAATGTATCAACTATTGAAATAGCGACCAATATCGAAAATCATAATAGGCAGATATGGTAACTGGTACTCACCTTAGAATTCATTCACACCAGTTCACGCTAATATTTCAAATCACTGAAATAATACTGTTGTAGAACAGAGATTTTCTTTTTTTATGGTGGATTAGGTATTATACACAAAATTTAGAAACTACGGAACACGTCCCTAACGAACACTTGACCCCAATCTCAGAAATAACCATTTTTTCAGCTCAAGAATATTTTTGACATATTGACGTTTCGATCCTTTGATCAGGAATCAGTTCACTGCTCTGATCCAAATCATATACGTATCCAAATATTTATCGGTCGGTAATATGTTTCCTGTAAATATGGATTGTAACCAGGATGAGCATAGCGAGATTTACCAACGTCAAGTATGTTTATCAAAGGTTTATCAGAGTAGGCGCCATCGAGAAACTTGCAAACTACCTTCAATAGGAAGCAAGCGCACCAGTTAAATTTCTATACATATCTGATGAAGAAATACCAATTACCTATTGTGAATATCGTTCCTGGAATGAAATGAAACGATTTTGAAATTTGTTATTTCCGCAAATTTTCTGTATAGGCGCCATATATCATGAAGGTCATATAGTTGCAGAAACACTTAGGTACATAATTCCAAATTACACAAGATTTCTACTGATCGCCACAACAGATACATTTTTATCGGCTTATCGCGAATTTCGTTGGTAAATTTCAAGGTTATTTTATCAAATTAATTGATTGTTACGTTGCCTGTAAGCGAGAAAAACAACTCAATCATCTTTATCGCAAAGACGTATTGTTACTTGCGATCCTGCCAACTTGACCTGCCTTAATATGAGAAGTGTTGCATTGCCAAAGACACATAATAGGAAATAGCCAAGGAATAAACTATATGCATACGGCCCAGTGCTCGGTTTAAAAATAAAAAAAAAATCGGATGCTCGAAAAAAATAAATGGTTTTTCAAGATTTACGTGTGACACGATTGCGAATTCAGAACGATAATAAAGTAGAAGCCAAAAATCTGAGAAACAGGCTACTCCCATCCCAATAACCACTTACTTGAAAATTTACACAACATTTAATGCTATTTCTGACTTGTATCTGAGAGTTATTACTTGTTCACACAGATTTCTTACTTCCAACTAAGATTCATTCTTGCTGGTAATTAAAAAATCATCACTTTTAAATCGAAATTCTTGGTGAAACCTCAGAGTAACATTATATCAAGAATTATAATCAAAATTATAGAACTTTAACGTATTTCGGATCATCTACTGAAAAATTAGCTTTATTTCTACATAAACACAAATGAAACGTTGGGAAGGTTTATCAAAAATAGTGAAGACAAAACTTTTGAATTCGAAAAATCAGGGGTATACAAACTCAACTAAGGATCTTGTCCTGAGGTATATATCGGTCAGACAGTTCGTACGTTTAATCAACGCATTCATGAACATGAGATGAATTTTTTGAAAAAGAAAACAAATTTAACATACGCCAAACATTATATATTAGAAGAAAACCATAGTTTTGATGATGATTCGGAAATTCTACACTTAGAGAATGAAGGAATGAAATTCAATCAGTTTGAATCATTAGAAATCAACAAATTCAAAAATTCTGACATTTTACTCAACGAAAAATTATAATAATTATCAACCCTTTCAAGTTGATCCAGTATTGTAGATATTGTGCCTAATTTCCGAAAATGAAGGTTTATGGAACCTGTCCACAGGTAACTAATCCTTCAAGTTGGGAAAGTAGGGTGAATAAAAGATAACCAAGCCAAGGTTGGTTTATTTAAGTTCATTGTACCAGTATATCACCTGACGTTCGAGTCAGATTTTTTAATTTGATAACACAGTAATTATAACTTGTAAATCAAATTCCTATTCAATAGTTTAACACAGAATTTCCACTTCTAATTCAAAAGTCATCAATTGTAAAACGAAATTCTTGATGAAAACTTAGGGTAACAACTATTTAACTGAATATTTTTTCTTGTAAATTTAAATACCAAACTTTGATTTTGAAAGTATTGCTTATTATTCAGATGGCTTATTACTAAAAATTTTGATGTTTGTCTGTGACGTCATGAAATTGAGGATTCTTGCTTGTAAACACTAAATTCTTACTACTGGCATGTAGCATTTGATTATTGTTTGTAATTCAAACTATCAACTGAGAATCTGGACATTCGAATCAGGATACTATCATCTAACTTAGTATTTTCAGCTTGTTTAGATCGAAATTCTTGTAACTGTAACTGAGAGTTTTTGCTAATAAACAAAAAACTTTCGAACGTAAGTGAACTGTCTGACTTGCACCTGAAAATTCATGTTCGTAGATGTCAAAATTCAGTCTTTCAACACAAAACGAAACCATTTTACAGAGGATTCTGGCACAAAAATTGTAATGTAATTATATCGTAGTCACCTTCAACCGTATTCATATAAACATGTTTCAAAGGAAACCATATACCAATCGAAGTACCAAATTGACTCGAGGTGTACTCACTTGTAGGGAAGGGTTGGTAGAACTGCTGCGACATGTGATTGGGCTGCCTCTGGCCATGGTGCGTCGTCCAAGACAGCGGATGATGCCTGGGGAACAGCGAGCCTACCGGCGAGTGGATCGAAGGCTGCAGCCGAGCCTTCAGCTGTTCGTCCGTCGAGGTGTGTCCGCTGGACGAGCTGTCCACGTCCGATACTCCAGAATCGGCGGGACTGGGAGGCAAGGAACCTGGAAGAAAGGTCGGGGAAACACTTCAAACGTTGAAAAAATCACAGGGTCGGTACATAATGCGAAATCTCTATCGATCGATAACGGATTCACTAGGGAATAGAGGCGCAACAGGTGGAGATGAAGCAGCAACAGGTGGATGTGAGGTAGCAACAGGTGGATATGAAGCAGCAACAGGGGGGTATGAAGCAGCAACATGTGGACAGGATGCAGCGACATGTGACTAGAGGAGTCAGCAACAGGTGGATATGAGATGATGCAGTATTGGTTTTTTTTATGATCTGGTTCCCACGAGAAGAGATATCCTGTAATGATCAGAGAACATCTTGAGAACCAATGGAAATCAGGTAGGAATTGGTGTTTTTCCTAAATTTCTGGAGGTCATATGCCTCGGGGAACATCTCCCTCGGCAATGTGTTCCAGAGCTTCGCTGTTCGTTGGATTAACGAGTCTTTGGAAATAGATGTTCTGAAGGTCTCCAAAGTGACCACGAAGAAGCCTCAACTCGACGGGTTAATCTCGCGGGGACTGCCAAGGAAGGAACAATTGTTGATATTCCGAAAGAACATCGTCCATTAAAATATCTATAAAATAGAGCCAGATTGCCAACATTTCTACGGTGATCCAGTGAAGTGAGTGAGTTTGTGAGCGAGGCATCACTCACGAGACGAATTGCCCGTTTTTTTGGGCAGAATACAACAGTTTCAGGGTATGTTTGGGTGCTGCACTCCAAATATAGGAGCAGTATTCCAGGACAGGTCGAATCTGTGCATTATAGATCATAAGCAGTTGACTGGAAGTGAAAAAACTCCTGGCACGAAACAAAAAACCAAGGTTTTGGGATGCACTTTTAGCAATTGATCACTCGTGATTTTCCCAAGAAATGTTATTGCTGGTAGTAATACCAAGAATCGAAATGGATGTCTTCAAAGGTATGGTTACTCCTGACAAGCTTATGTTGGGCACAATGAGATCGGCTTTTCTAGAGAAAAGGCATGCTTGTGTTTTGTTTGCATTGAAATCTACCAAGTTATTAAATCCCCATTCGAGAATTGTTTCCAAGAACATATTTATGTTGTCAACATTTCTCCCTCGTTTGTTTCTGATTTGCCTGGCTGGTATCGGAGCCTTGGGAGTGAAGGCGGTGTGGATGGTACTATCATCCGCGAAGCTGTGTACTGGACATGAAGTTGCTTCCAACACATCGTTGATTTGGAGTAGAAATAGGGTTGGTGCTTGAATTGAAAAGAGAGTCAGATGAAACTCCGTTGACCACTACATGGAGAGACCTGTTTGAGAGAAAACCAGCTAGCTGAAAACATAGCTGGGGAGGCAAGCCATAAGATGGAAGCTTGCCGAGGAGTCCGTGGTGCCAGACTCGATCGAATGCCTTGGAGATATCAAGTGCCACGGCTGAGGTTTCACCATATTTTTCAATAGATTGCTGCCATATATGTGAGACGTAAGCGAGCAGGTCACCAGTTGATCTCTGATAACGGAAGCCATATTGCCTATCGTTGATAATACCTGAATGTTCCAGGTATTTCATGAGCTCGATGTTGATAGCTTTCTCCATGATCTTCGAAATAATAGATAGCAGTGCGATAGCAACATGTGGATATGAGGTAGCAACAGGTGGATATGAAGCAGCAACAGGTGGATATGAGGCAGCAACAGGTGGAGATGAAGCAGCAACAGGTGGATATGCGGCAGCAACAGATGGATATGAAGCAGCAAGGAGTGGATATGAGGCAGCAACAGGTGGATATGAAGCAACAACAGGTGTACAGGATGCAGCGATAAGTGACTATAGGAGTCAGCAATAGGTGGATGTGAGATGATGCAGTAATGGTCAAGTCAACAATAACAAGCAGCGAGAGATTATTTGCGGGGCCTTCCTTCGAAAAAGGAGTTGGGGAAGTTTGCTTTGAAGATCTCCATGCCTTCTCCAATAAGGCTATAAAAACATTATCCATTCGGGTAATTGATGGATACGTGGAATGATATGCATAATTATCACTAATTATAGTGATTTAATTATTTATGTTCTAGTTTTTGAGATTACTGGAAAAACAGTTGTTTATTCATTTTATATTATGAATGACCATGGCCGTATCCGATATCACTGAACTCAATTCAAAAATGATATTACTATAGAAATGGTAATCTCATGAGCTGAAATCGTCGTAAAATTTGGTGGGCAAATTTTACCGACATGAATCCATTCAGTTCTTGAAATCAGGCGAATTATTCACAAAGGATGCTGGAATATACAGAGTGTTTCAAAATATAGGTTATCGAACGCTTAGTTTTCCACAATTTAGGACACTGAAATTTTCATAAGAATTTCGACAGGATTGACTGAACATTATAAAAAAATTGAAGCATTTTGACAAAATTCAATCGTCTCATTAAAGTCCGAAACACTCAGGGAAAAAAGTCTAACGGTTTGATTCATTTTGACAAGCATCACGCCCGAAAAATATAAAGTCTGGGGCGAGCATTAACTGAGCAGAATTCACCTGAACAGGGTGGACCAAATTGGCCACATTCAGAGGGCAAGTCTTCTGTTCGAAGTAGATAAAAGGAAATTGATGTCGATATTTAATGGTCAATTCTCATGACAAGCTCAATAGCGTAAACCGCATATCGATATTTATCTTCGTCTCAGAGTTTCATAGCATTCCCAAGTAGCACACATATATTGGGACAATATCGGTGCAATATTACGAAAATATCGGCAAAATATTGTGAAAGTAATATTGGCGAGAAAAAAAATGTGAACATTCGGCGATATTGGTACAATATCAGTTTCCAAATGTGGGTAGAATATTCTCATATTAATATTGGTTGAATATTCGTAGAGTAATATCGGACACAAAATGTAATATCAATATTGGCGAGAAATTGATGGTGAACATTCGGCAATATTGGTGTAATATATGGAGATATCGGTGAATCATTGGAAATCATCATGAAGGTATGTTGTCCCAGAAATATTGGTTGAATATTCTCATACCAATATTGCTGGTATATTCGTGAAGTTATATTGGTGCAATATTGGTTGGGAATATTGGTACATTATTGAAAATCATTATGTAGCTATGTTGTCTTCAAAATATTGGTGGAATATTTTCATACCAATATTTGCGAGTTATTCGCATCAGGAATAATCACAAAGGTCAGCCTAGCCGGAGTGCAATGGGAGGGTCTTGCCCTAGGGAAGCCGCCTTGTTGATCACGGTTAACCCCTACTCCAGGTTATAGTACTTCACAATCGTCTAGAGCCAATATTTAAATTCTCTCGTCGGATCGGCAATGAGAGTACGTTACCAATCATTTATAGCGCCATCTATCGACATCGGTTTAGGAGTGCGTAATATGGAATAAATATCGAAATTCCGATATCGATATGTATTCTCAAAACAATATGTGAACAATATTGCTTACATGATATAGTGAATCACATATCAGCCAATATAAGATGATATTATTTTCTGAATATGGCTAGAAAACTATTGACCCGATATGCAATTGAACTTGAAAATACAATATTGTTTTTCTCTTCTATGTCCGATATGAGATACATATTGAACTGCCGTTATTGATATTCATATTTGAATCATTGAAAACCCCTTCAGAATCGATATGTGGAGAATGTTCAAATTGCTATATTGGTTATGATTGTTGGAAACAATATGTATACGATATCTTCCGCATGATATGGATAGAATGATATTAATCAAGATAGGTGAATATAATATTTCGAATATTGTTGAAACAATATTCAACCAATATGCCGTCGAACTCGAATATACAATATTGCACAACCGCTTCAGAATCAACATGGGGACAATATTCAAATCGCGATATTGGTTATAAATGTGAGAAGCAAATTGTATACGATATCTTCCGCATGATATAGATAAAATGATATCAATCAAGATGGGTGAATATAATGTTTCAAATATTGTTAAAACAATATCCAACCGATATGCCGTTTAACTTGAGAATACAATATTGCATAACCGCTTCAGAATCGACATAGGGAGAATGTTCAAATTGCAATATTGGTTGTAAATGTCGGGAACAATATGTATACGATGTTGTTGTATCGACATTAGTAAAACAATATTATATAACATTCATAGATATGTTTTTCAACACATTGTTAACGAATTTTACAACCAATATTGCTCCAATATTGTAGCTGACAATCCATATTCAGCTCAGGTCGAACCAATATTCCACCAATATTATCATTCCAATATTGTTTGTCCAATATACTCTCATATTGGACCTATATTATTTTTCACATGTACGATATATCTATATCGGCCCAATATGAAATCGGGTTCCAGCCAATATGATGTGCTACCTGGGTTTTAATAGCATTTTTATAGCATTTTTATAACAAGAATTCTTTTTTTTTTACAAAATTTACAAACCATTGTGATTGTGAAAAAATTGATCGTCAGGCACTGAAATTTGAAAATAGTACTTTTCCATAAAGAACAAGTTACTTTTTTGAACTAGATAGAGGATGACTGATTCCAGTTTCTGATGATCAAATTTCATCACAAAACTCAATGTTTTGAAGATGTTCTCATGAGAACAGAAAATGTTTAGGAACAAAAAAAATATTTCCAGCGACTTCTCCAAAATCAAAATGCTCATTTTGCAAGAAAATCACCTTGTAACTCTGAAACGAAGATACAAATCGATTTGGGGTTTCACCATTGAGTTGTTCGTATATCTATAGTTCAAAAATATGATTTTCCTCAAAAAGTGTCGAATTTGGCCCATCCTGTATAAATTGATCTCTTTGAACAATCCGAAACTGCAAAAATAATGATTGTGTAGTTAGGCATCGGAATGCTCTTATTCTCGCTCTTACCTAATTTTGTTTTGTATACAGTGTGACTCAATAACCGTTTCTTCGAAACAAATAGTTCAACGGAGACTTTGTTAACGCCATTTTCCGAAGGTAAAAAATTAAT